ACGGGCCACTATCCATACGTTCCTTGCCGAGAAACTGGAAATGCTCCGTGGTAAAGCCGATTCCGAAAGGCGGTGACTCCAGTAAAGTGAGCAACTACATCTAATTTAGCTAAGGTTGCCAGAAAGATATTGTATGAGAGTCTATTACAGCTGCTTTGACCGGAAGATCTACTGACGCTCGCACAGTACGGTGTTGTGCTAGGCGCTTCATACATCACCAACTTGCTGGTGATGAAGGATGTATGGTTGTTGGTAGTGGTTGTGAGGGAAAATCTGCCGATTTAATCTACATTGATCTCAGTAAAAGGTTCGATAAGTTAAACAGTGAGACCCTCCTCCACAAGATGAGAATGTGCAATGTTGGTGGATAACTGCACCAGTGGATTCAGGGCTTTCTCCGTGGACGAATTTGGAAGGTACAAGTCGATGACCATCTAACTGACTGGTACCTCACTAAAAGTGGCTTACCCTAACGTACGGTATTGGGGCTCACTGTTCATTGTCCACCTAAAGGATCTGTCGCAGTTTCTCGTGTCGCTGGGTGCCATGTGTTTGGATGACCTGAAGATTTGAAGACTGATTAGCAACAGAGATGATTGTGGCTTACGTCAGAAGGACCTCAAGAGCCTCCCAATGTGGTCTGCAGAAGTCGGCCACCCGGTCAACCCAAGAAAGTCGGTGTTTGTGAGCATGGGTAAGAGTCATGACAGTCGAACTTATAGCACTGATAGCCAACTGCCATATTCCATGCCTTCTATGAGCTAGGTGAACTCTCACGCTGCGAATTGAAGCCCGTGGAAACACGAATGGGCTACATAGTGACATATTGAAACATATTTGGGCGCACAAACGCAGCTTCTCTACTTGGTCTGAAGAGGTTGTCACTCACCTCTACTCTTTCATCATATGACCAATACTGGATTACGGTTCGCCCGCCTTCTGTCCAATCACCAGAAGCGAGGCACAAAAATCGAACGAGTCCAAATCGTCGCTAACAGTCCAATTCCTGGTGTTACGAGAATCGCCTTGCGAAGACTTAACGAGAAACTAGACCAATGTACCTTGTCCTATTGTCAGCTGCGAGTTAATCTCGTCGTGACCTATCGCGTATTACGTCTTGGTCACTTCCTCATGTTGATGCAGCTGCTTCAATTGCGAACGCCATGCACCATACGTAGACACCGTGTGGTGCCGGATAGATAACCAGTTCCCCACCCCCGGCTGTGCACCGAACGGAGAGTGGTACATGTTTGCAACAGTCTGCCATGATATGTTGTGGGGGCAAAATCTGGGAAGCAGCTCAGAACGTTGTCGGATTTACATTTCACTATTATCCAATTCAGATAAGAACAGCATACTAACAATGACTTCATACATTTGTGAGTCCAGTGATACTGAGAGTCAGAAAATTTAAAAAATGCTGCGTAAGAAATTGAAGTAGTCTAATATACTCAACAGACGGCTGGTATTTATTTGAGATTCTTGGGTATATCCCGATGCAGTTGAACAGCGTTAGATTTTTAGTTGCGCGCACATTACCGTATTCAGTATCCAGCGTCAGTTGAGTCTCCTTTTAAAACGGTCGTTTACAGAGACAGATACACCTACAGACATTATGACGTGACGGCATTTCGTACATGCACACCAATGCCCTTCAGCATCGAATTCTCGACAGTGAACTCCTGACACTTCGTTTCAAACGAAAAATGGGTTTCATTTTGTTAAGTAGAATTCCACACAATAACTACAACGTGCCTTGCATCCACCAGTACGATCTTCCGGATTTTACGCCGTTTATTGCCCAGAGCCTAAAACATCGAATTCCATGCAACTCATGATCGTGTTCTTCAAATTGACTCAACTGCACTTATGATGCAAAGCATGTGGTACAGAAAAGTAAGCGTTTGCCCGTACGGATAGCAAATCACTACCCAGGGCCACTGCAGAAAGGTGTGGTTGGAATTACTGGCAATTTAGACATTGAACAGCTGATCAAGCGAGAACATTGCGTTTTGACCAAGGTCGCGTTTAAATCGTTCTAAGCTGTAAAAGTGATAACCGAAATGGTTTACAAAACGTCGAACACAGTAGGCGGAAGCGATCACGTTCAGAATAACGCAACCGGAGAGAAGTAAATAACAGGGACTTCAAAAGTGCGGAATATACTTGGAACCGATCGACAATTCATGAGTAAAAATAGGTTTGGGAGCAATCGGTTGGCGTGTTTATTGGGCAATTTTTGATTTTGACGCCAAAGCTTCGTCGGCCAAATGAATCAGTACACAAGTGGAGCGGCAGTTCAGTACCAATAGAAACGATAATCAGGATAGCAGCAACATGATTCAAGGTGTTATTACGTCAAAGTGGTTCACAAACAGTGGGAATAGTTCAGGTGTTCCTTTGTGCGTTATGGCATTGACAGATAGGCCCAGAATGATGACAGTGGGGGTCGATTTGTACTTTCCAACCTGATCCGCCCATAGACGCTCTTCAGAGTGGACGGATTTAGATTGACCTCTACGCAGTTGAGACATTTACCAAGCCTCTCATTTTGCCACGGCCATAACGAGAATCCGGCAGTAAGTGACTGGAACTTCACAATGTGAATTTTGTTGCTGCATGGGCTAACACAAGTGTGCGTATACTGTTGGTATGTGACTTATGTCTTCACATTTTTCAGCTGGTTCCCTAGTTCACTTTCACCCCAGTCATTTTTTGACTGAAGTTGCCTGACCAGAACAACGGAAAGGAGATATCTATTTAGAAAAACATCACTATCACACTTTTATATGATGCCCAGTGAGGTGATCGTATCGGGACCAAATAAGCGATATCCACATTCAAGTGCATAGCGCAAAGCACTCAATAATCACCAATAATTTACTCCCAGAAGTGATCTTAAATTTTACTTGCAACAGTCCTGCTCCGTGCCTCGTCTGTCGCATCTTTGGATCTTTTCCAGTTAAGCCCCGCCACCCAAAAAGATTATGAAAAGGGAGGATTTGGAACTTGAACTTTTACTCTCTATTGAAGAGGGTGAAATTGAAACAAGTCATTAATAATTTGCATGAAAAGGTCCATTTTTCGGTGTCTTTGCCTCCAAACGAACTCACACAGGTAGCTGTCCACTAAAGATCGCTGGGTGCCGCATTGGCGCTTATTCTGCATCTTGTAAATGTCCCAGAGAGATTCGATGGTTAGTGTGTGAGCTCCAGTCGTTGGATCCACAAAGTTTTCGGTATGATTAACCGTTCGATGAGTATAACTCATGCCAATCATCGATTCCATGCCTTGGTATGATGCCCACATATCGGAAATGATAATTGAGCCGGGAGCGATGCAGGCCTGGATTGTGTCCAGCAGAGTGGCCGCAGTTCGATCTGGCATTGCATACAAGAACACTTCTTTAGTCTCCCGGCAAATCCCTACGAAAATCCACTGCTGGGGAAGGACTCGCCCTGCATGGTTTTTAAGACGTGATATTAGGGTTTCATCGATCTCGACATGTAGACCTGGGCCGCCGACAATCGTTGGAGTCTGCAAAAGCTGCCAGGCGCAAATTTCACGCAGAAAGTTCTTCCAGTCGACAGCGGTCGCGTGGCCAATAGATAACTCCTCTGAGCAGAATTTGATTGTTGTCAGATTTTTGGACCAGCAATAAATGAATAGGATTATTGTCCTGAAATTCATCCTAGACCGCTGCAGCCAAGTTCCCTTTCGAAGACCGATTTCTTGCCGACACTGTCGGGCATCACACCTCCACCTGTCAGAAACAGTTGAAAGTGTCATTTGGTGTCCTCGTCTGCATAAACGTGCACTTTTTGCACTATTGATGGGGCTTGACTTTTCAGGTGTACCCTTTTTGCCTTAATGGCGGGGCTTAACTTTTTGCGCGTTCTCTTTTTGCATTAGTGGCGGGGCTTAACTATAAAAGATCCGCATCTTTTGGCTACATGTGTCCTCGCTCTGGAGTTAAATAGAGGAAGGCTCGATAATGCAGCTGTGCAGTTGTATGTCTTGATAAAATTGCAGCACAGCTGCTGTCCTCAATTTCAAACGGCAAGGGTTACACCAGCAACTGACCAACACCGTTCCTTGTCCTTGGGCATATCATACCACAATGTCGCACCAGGATTTCAGGATGCTAGAAGAATTAGTGAACAAGGCACAGACCGGAGGTGGATCGATGCATACCAGAACGACAGATCTAGTAAGGATCAAAAAAGAATTGATTGGCAATCCCCCAATACATAGATGTACGCATGGGTGTCATAAAACATGTGTATAAATTTCAAATCGGTTAGTCTTCTCTGAATGCAGTAGCGACGGCGTGGTTTATGTAGACGCGAAATTAACCGAAACATGGCAGCTATAGGGTCACTGTAAGTTGGTCTGCTTTTGTTGTACTTGAAACCAAGGGATGGTGTCGAATTCAGTGTTGTAGCTAGTACTTATTTCATGGAATCTCCATAGCAGTGGACATTTCATAACCGCAAGAACCAAACGAGTGACTCCGGTGATGCTACACACGTAGTAATCTGTTCATAAAAACTGGTTCGCACATGATTATTGCTCAATATGATCTCATCACTGAGCACTGTAAAACGCCGGGAACCACCGCGCACCGTTTGAGAAAGCATTAAAATGTGCTCCATGCACTCAACCTGAGGTGACAACTGCGCCAGCTATATGTGGTTAGGTGGCATAAAATAGATTAACAAAAAAACTGGGAATGATGTGGAAATGTCCAGCAATTGTCTGAGTTTACTGCTTCCTGAATGGAGTTGCAACCGTTCTCTGAGCAGTGCTACTGACATGTCTGTTGACAGCGAAATTTGTCGACACATACACGTCGGACAATGTAATTAACTGCCCCATCTGTTCTGTGAGAACGCAAGCATCAATTCGGAACGTCTGTGCATTCGAAAAATGTAATCCAGTAACTGAGCAGATGTTAGTTTTATGCTCCGCATACACGTTTAATAGGTCATACCACTTACTGCCTTTGTCTGCCAATATCATCAGCCCCATGGAGGTACCGAACGAGGAATTGACCTTCGCCTCCTCGTCCTTTGCAGAAATCCTCTATGGATGAAAAAGAGGCAAATGGACAATATTCGAAGATGGCACAAACTGCAGAGTAAAATGAAGGAACAACATATCAATGGGGTATTCCAAATACAAATTGTCTAACTATTCTTATTAGCTGTCAATATTCATTCCCTGGAAAGATCGTGCTGCATGAGGAAAAAGCAAGTTTCAAGGTTATTTAATCTAGACCACTGTACACGCAGACTTTTGCTAAGCCACCGAACCTTTGAAGCGTCAGCAAACAGGAGCAGGCGAACATAGTTATGTCCCTTACTAATCCTGAAAGACTCACCGGGGTTTATTGTTTAGAACAGTCTAAGATATGCTTAACCGTACAGCCGGCTGGCAGCTTGGTACTCTTCGGGACGATATTTCAGGGAATATACTCTCAATTCCTTTTCCACAGCCTTCGTCTAGTTTGGTCAGCATAGAGTATAGTAAATACATGAGGCGGAAACATGAGAGTTTAGCTTGTTCGGGTCTGATCTAGAAAACAAATTCCTGAGTTGGTGCAATTACACAAGTTCGGCTGCGCAATAAATCGTCTGCCACCAATATGACGAAAAAGACAACGGAATATTATAACCTCTTGGTCCCCTTTTAATGGCAGAGTAATAAATATCATTTTATTATGAGTGTCTGTCAGCTGTTTCTCCCTGTATTGGTCGTTCGTGTATCTTGCAATACCCCTCCCGCGGTATCTCTTTCCACCTAGTTTTGATAACATATACTTCACCTAACTGACAAACGAATCATCAGAACAAATTGTAAGCGCTGTAAGGAAGGCGGTGTGAATCTATGATCGTTTGCATTTTATAGGATTTAAAATGTTATATTTGGGGTAGTGTCCTGTCCAGATAGGCTTGTGGTCGACAGAGCGTACCATCTAAATTCTGATTCAGGTTTAAATTCACAAAATTTGATAGAACTATCTATTCTGCTTTCCATCGTGAATATTACTGCAGGGTGGCATTTTTAATAGCATCGAGTAGGTTTATTGCCTACTGAGCTGCCACAGCGACAACGAGCGTTTCGTCTAATATACAAGCACAATTTGCATGCGACCATGTAGTGTAGGGTTCTCCAAGTGGCAAATGAAGATGTGAGCCAGAGCTGGCACAAGTGGGTTGCCAATGGCTAGGTTATCAGTTTAACTATACCTCATTCCATTGAATTGGAGGTGAATATCTTCTGTGTACAAACCGATTAGAGAATAAATATGATGTGCCGGAAACCCTGCTTTATCAATATAAATGTCGCTGATGCATAAAGTCGCTTCCAGTGGAACGTTGGTGAGCAATAAACTAAAGTTAAAAGAAAAAACTTGTCCTCTCTAAGTTTAAAACGAACATTTTGCTGACAAATTCACACATGCATCTTTGACCGTGAGTCCAGGTAGCTCATGCCAGAGAGGCTCTGTAAAGCTGGGCTGGCCATCATATCCACTTTCGATGCAGTGCGTTTACCATAGGGACGAATAGACGCAGAGGAACTCTCATCATTTGAGTATACAACATAATTGATTAAATAAGAGAATGTCGCTTAAGCCATAGGTGGAAGAATTTTTATTAACCTTCTTTCCTTTGAATAGAGAAAAGTCTCACCTTTCTATTGCCGAACGATAAAGTGAATGGAGTTTATGAATAAGAAATTTGTACAAGAAAGCTTGCTTAACTAATCATATCCACTGAAGGATGGAATCTTTTACCTTTCATATAAAACTAGAAAATTAATACAACATATGCTGTTGAGTTTTGGTAATTGTGGACCAGTTTACACTGGCTGCATTCAATGAAATTTTCTTGGTTTCAATACAACTTTAATTACGGTTTTAGTTTGTTTGTTCAAATTATTTAACATATATTGTATTTGAAGGCATGAGGTGATTAGAATGCTGTGAATCAAACTACTGACGGGTTGCGGCGAACTCGCGCTACAAGATCACCCACCGCCAAGTTGAAGTCCTGGCTGTTTCACTTGTGAGATATTTTAGGTGTATGAGGTCTTTTTTTGTTCCCTAACTTGGCAGTCGATGGCAGTAATAGTGAGAGTGCACTCTCACCGAGGCTCCTCTACGCTACTCTACGCTATTGCATGCCACTCCACTACGCACTGATGATGTCACCTCGATTGGTGACGAAACGTTTGCAACAAAATTGCCAAGCTCAGCACACAGTTCAACAGCCATCTGAACAACCTGAGCTACCAGTTTTCACTGCTATAGCCAAATCCTTAGATTTTTAGGTATCCGTTACACCATGAAAATACTTGGGCTCAAAATTCAGACGAATGCAAGAATTCTTCAGATGTTGTAAGTAGTGCATTCAAGTGCATTCTTTAAGTCCAGAATTTCGGTCAATTTCAAACGGTATTAAATAACAACTACACACCTTAGCCTCAACCAGTTAAAACCCATGGCAGATCACGAATGGATCACTGATTCGCAACATCAGTCGCACCACGGCGATTTGTCGTCTATATCAATTTGCACTTCAGATGCCATGGATATCCTTCTTGTTCCCCATCTTCCATAAAATATATACAAAGTACGGGAAAAGTTTTGGGAAAAAATCGCTTGGTTTCTGAAATAATAACAATTCTTTGTGCAGCACTGATCCTGAACTTTCAGGGAAACCCGGATTTGATGAATAATCAAAATTGCTTTGATGATCAAAGCTAGCATATTGGATTCTGCTGCTCTTGCTCATGTCGTGTGGACTGGAGCACCTTTGGTTTTCGTATCTGTTTGGTGCTCATGATACTCTATGGTCGAAACAGGGACATAGACAAACCGACACGGTCACCATAATGAACAATTGCACCGGCCTAATTCAATGTTCGAAAACTTCTGATAACTCATGCTATCGGCGGTTGGTTAGGATCGGTATAATAACTTTTTTAATAATTAATTCGAGGCATTTTGTGGTCGTGTGATTTGTAGCAAAGGTTATAATGTTGTCCAATGCTTGTCAGTAATAACTGCATTGTAATGCATCTGGAACACCGCCCCCTGTTGCATTTGAGGGTAGCTACACTATGGAATTAAATGCTGGTAAAGCTAAGAAACCAAGCGATTATTTGATCGATGGTAAATGTATTCCTATTCTACGCGTTGCAAAGTGGAACAATCAGACTATGGAAGAACTTAACTCACCTTGTGTTCGTACAAACAGTAGAAGCTTGCGCTGCGATAAGGAAGATGTAACTACTGTTCTCGCGTTGTGTGGACTCGTCTGACCTGGTGGGGCGCATACGGCAACTAGACAAACTTCGTTACTTTACACTGATTAATCTAACACTAGTAACAGATAGACTGCTGATTGAAGCAGAGTAGTCTGCAGATAGATGTTGCGGAATGTCTCCGCAAAATCATACGGAAAGAAGTCCGGTATTTGTATAGAGGTTCGCTCTTCAAAAAAGTCAGCAATAAGAAGGTATTTACGTTTGGAGTAAAAAATGAGTCACTTTAAAAACATACAGTGATGGACAGACGATATAAATACTAAAACCAAATTGGTGGATATATATTTTCTCCTTTAATGTGCAACCGTCTGTATATAATGGTAGAAAATAGCAAGTTCAGATACAGAAAGAATAACAACCATATTCAGCGTACCAAAAATTTAAAGCCTTTTCGATCGGCGCTTCCAGTATCCAGCATATTTCGCACACCGACACTATGTCTGGCAATGGTTGCAATGATGTGCAACACGGCTGCGGCGGATTTGACTTTCATTGTGGCCGTTTTAGCCTTTTCTGTCAGTGACACTGACTTCACTTTCTGTGGTGGCGTGTGGCTCGGTGTACTTGTCTCCGTAACGGAAATATCCCCCAAAATAACCGTTCCATCCGGTGTATTCGTTGAGGGAATAGATGTTAATGGTGCGTCAGAAACTGGAAGATGCTTATCCAGAATAACTTTCTCCGGTTCCAAAGCGGACACTAAGGCATCCAACAATCGTGAAGCCATTAACTGCTTTTCATAGCTTTGGTTAAACGTGAAGGGAATAGACAAAATGGGGAAGAATTGAAATTCCCGAAATATAACATGAAAATCAGAACAATGTGCGTAATCAATAATAATTGCCTTAAAGATGTATCAACTATTGCTGTTACGTCGCTTTTTGACTTAATTAGCAGGTACATTCCCATATAAGGCATAGGGTGGCTTGGATGCAAGACGGATCCTTAGCCGCAGTCACAAACTCCACTGCATGATCCTAACAGTTTGATAGTAAAGAAAGCAGCTAAAAGCTAGCAGACTGATATTTGACTGCCAGTTCAGATGAGGGGGGAACAACGAATTATAGTAAGGAATACTGTGAGCGGTTGACGCTAGACCATATATCAAAGTCATGACTGTTTAGCCTAAGCACATGTCTGACCTTGGCCATGTGATTTTACAGAGGAATTCGTATAAACTTAGTGAAAGGCAGCTATCGATCGCAGTCTAAAATGGAGTTGTACTATCTCGAAAATTACGTAGATACGGTATCGAAGAAAACGCAGTAATTTACCTTTTCCTGTAGTAAAAATGCTAGTGCTCCCAGAGTGAATGGCTGGCCGGTTTAAGCCATGAGATTCAAAGTGAGCATTGGCAGTGAAGACAGGCCACAAAGTCTTAGATTTACTAAGCATCTAGAAATATGAGTCAGAATAGAATGATAGCAAAGAGGGAATTTGGAGGAAATGCTAGTCACTGGAACTCGTGGAAAGATGAAGAGCAACCGATTAGTTGCCGGATAGGAATCGTACGTACGGTCAGTGTGAAATCGTCTCTGATCTTATGGACAACAAGAATGATGGAGTTCAGAACACAGCATCTGCTGCTAGAAAAGTGGCGTTAGTTGCTTCTTTGCTACTCTACCACAGCTAAACAGCTTAACAATATCAATGCCAACGTTATCTTCGGCATAGTGCCTTCCTCTTGGGGTGAATCAGTTATTATCCCAATTTTCAAGAAAGGTGCTCGCACTTCATATGCAAATCATCGCGGGATTAGTATTATTTCGGTTGCCTCTAAGCTATTGGCATCCATTCTGCTTCCCAGACTATCCCCAGTACGTGAATCATACTACCGTGAAGAACAAGCTGATTTCCGTCCCGGCCGCGGATGCGTGGATTAAATCTGCAAGCTCCGCCAACTCCTTGAACATCGCCACATTTATCACAGGCCCACTATCGTTGCATTTCTAGCCATACGTGCCGCTTTTGACCCCGTTGATCGACCTGCTTTATGGCTTTGCTTACTAAAGAAAGGGGCGCCAGAGAAATATACCGCCATTTTACGAGCACTTTACCTTCATACATCCGGCAGAGTGAGGGTCTATGGCAAGCTTTCCTCGCAATTCACTGTCAATAGCGGTGTGCGACAGGGCTGCCCTATGTCCCCATTCCTCTTCAACTTCGCAATCGAAGATGTTCTGTCGAATGCCCTAGAAGGTTTCCAACATTTTGGCCTAAAGTTTCTACCGGGTGAGCGTGCGACCGACTTAGATTATGCTGATGATATCGCCTTATTTGGTGACGACCCTCAGGGTATGCAACTCATTCTGGATCGTTTGGCGGTTGAAGCATCTAAATATGGCATAAGCTTCGACCCATCGAAGTGTAAAGTAATGCTCAAGGATTGGCTTTCACCTGTTCCCGTGCTCACTCTGCGAGGTGCACAACTTGAACAGGTAGATAGTTTCGTTTACATTGGGAGCTGTATTTCTGCTGACGGCACTATCAACAAAAAAGTTTCGCTTCGTATCGCTAAAGCTCGATCAGCATCTGTCAAGCTGAGGCACTTGTGTCATCGTCGTGACATCTCATTCTCACTAAAGGACCGCATTTACAGCGCATCAGTTCGCTCAGTATTGTTGTATGGGTGCGAGTCCTGGCCGATTCGCGTGGAAGACATGCGTCGTCTTTCTGCATTCGATAAGCGTTGCTTAAGGAGGATCGCTCGTGTTTGATGGCAACATCCAGTTAATAGTAATGACATTCGATGTCGCATCTTGGGGAATGCAAGTATTTCGTTCAATAAACTGGTTTGTTGTGCCAGTTAAAATGGCTCGGTCACGTCCTACGCATGGCACCTGAGCGTCTACCGCGTCGCGCTCTATTCGCTCGTCAAGGACCTGGCTGGAAGTAACTGCGTGGTGGTCAGCCTTCCACTTGGCGGCAGCACATGAAATCGCTGACATCGTGTCTAGCCGCTGTTGGATCCGTACGTCTTCCAGAATGGGGACCCAAAGATGAGGAGTGCCAATGGCTTAGGACTCTTGAAGATATTGCCCACAATGGGATTCAATGAAAGAATTGTGTACAGTATTGCATTGATTCACACGTTTAATACTACCAACATTAAAATTACAAAAAAAGAGCAAAAGCGGCGTGTGAAAAACAAACTAAAAATGTTTTGTTCCACTTTTTGTCAAAATATTCCATTCTTCTTGCGGCATATTAGCTGAAGTGTGTTGCCCACTTTCAACTAGCATGCCACGATGATTATAACGCAATGACTCTCCTATCCACTGTTTTCCATGGTTTTTATTGGTTCTATGTCTACTTACTAGACTGTTGATATTACTACTACTACTATCTTCGGCATCTTCCAGCTATGTTGTAACGCTACAAATCCGTTTGCGTATCTTGAGGTATGAGACATCAACTGCACTCATTCCGGACGTGGAGTTGCGCAATGGAAGTGAAGGCAATGTTTTTTGAAATTGATTGCATCCGGTAACCCAAACAAATACACAAATGCACCAAAATACGTTTCCAACATCTTAGGCGCGATGTTTTGCAATTAATCTCATATCATGGCAGCCTACAGAATGACCGCTACAGCTAAGGACTGCGTGATGCATACGGTAATCTTTAGTACCCAGTTGTTTCGCAGAGCTAGTAATTGAAACTGCGCGTCGCGATCCAATCACATATTGGTGCTTAAAAATGACTCTCCAACCAATAAGTTCATTTTAGATTTCATATGTATTCAGCATTTTTGATTTTTCTCCTATGTACTGGACTTCGAGGTGTGATCTATCTCGATAATACATTGAAGGTGAATGAGTAATATTACTGGATTACTTCAATGACCGTCACTAATGTGAGAAAATGAGAAACGCTGGTTTCCAAATAGTTTGAGTATGTCAACGAACTGGCAGCCGTACATTATAGTAACGGTAACGATACCGTAATGCAGAGTTTCGCCCAGCACAACGCAAAAGCTCCTGCATTGCAACACAACCCTATAAATCGTGTAACGAAGGCTTTCGTAGTAAGACGATTCTATTTCGAACAGCTCCAACTATGAGATTTTCACCCAGTTTTTGCCGCATTCATTGAAACTGTCGACATACTACAGTCATCAAATTGGTTCTCACACTTTGACTTATTGATACAGGATCTGACACAATGCTTTCACGCTTGGCGACTCATGACCAGCATTACAGACGCACGACATACTAACAACTGCACATTACTCGTCATCAGGATGTGTCATATGCGAATCGATTCGAGTTTGTTCAGTGTCTTCTCGTTTGTTTGCGTACAGGTGCTGGGAAGTATTGTATTAGCCAAACCGCAATAAGCTGTAGATTCCTGCCAGGAAAACCAACCCACACACTTAGCTCTTTGCATTCAAACAAAGCAAATGGCATGACTAAACAATACACACGCTAGGTGTTACATCAGTATAAATGTAGCTGACCGACACGTTAAGCACAGCAGTTCTGTTGTCTACTATATTTGGACAAGTGGACACTAGATAGGTTGGTGCATTTTTTCGGCTGGAAGATATGAATGTATATTCCTGCAAGTGGGACAGTGTGATAATGTTGAGATTGGTCAGGACACAAGAATTCTATTCTCTGAATTCGAATTTATGGGAAACAAAGAAGTACGCCAATCTAAGTCATTGTTAATGGATAACGAACAGCTTCTGGGTCAAGGGGGACAGCGACTGTTTTGTAGTAAAGGAAGAAATTTTGGTGAAGCAAAGAAGAAATCGGAAAATGACAAACGTAACCGATGAATGATCACACCTTCTGAGTGGTCCTGATTGACAGCAAAAAACACCGGTTGCCACTGACGTAAAATTCGCTGGTTTAGACGTCGCCATATTGCCGAGGAATTTTCCAACCTGACTAGTGCACGACGCAAACTGCGGACAAAGTGTCTAGTCAATAAACCCAACGTGGTCATTAAGGCCAAAATTCTGTCAAGTCACTGAGACATATGGAACAGCTGCTAATCAGTGGATTTTCTAATGCGTAACAATTCATAACCTAAGAGGGGCTGGTACAATTTCGGCCTCCGATTCACACCATGTCGTTCAATCTGGTTTGGACACCATTATGAACTTCTGGTGATAATCAGTATACTTAGGACCGATAGGACATATAGAGTAGCATGTTGATAGGTGCAGTTAATTATGTAACAGTGCACCTTGCACTGTCTCAATCCGTAGGCGCTATGCCTCGGTGGTCTGCTTTATACTTTGCCTCTGGTCTCCGGGCTCAGTCGGATGCTAAGTGATGTTAACATTTATAGAAGAAATGGGCACTCATCTTGCAAAGTAATACTTATGACTTAGCCTTCCATAAAAGACTAGATCTCATCATAAGGATCGCCTCTTCCCCTTCTGATGGGAGGCATACATTTGTATTGTTATTATCATGTCGGAAACTAGCGGCACCTTCCCTGGCTCAGAGTTTACAACTGGTGTGTATCATGAACAATTCAGTATTTCCGTCCCCTCATCGAAACTTGTGAAAGTATATCCTTATTGGGAAATTTGAAGTTCTGACTTGTGACCATGGTACCCTCATGTTTATAATGGCGGGTGTGCTGAGCAAATTTGATAAAAGTCTAATGTTTCCTAACCAATCCGCGTTCAGCAAAATTCCACAAAATTAAATCCACAATAGCCGCAAGCGCGGAGCCATAATGATCATATGTTGCTTCCGTTGATTGGTGGGATCACAATCGGAGT